CCTCCCAGCCGCCTGCTGGGAGCAGCCTGGGCTCTGTGGCTGTCAGCAGCTGCTTAGAGCCTGGGCTGGTGGTTGTGTGTCGAGCAAAATGGCCTTGCATGCCATGCTCAGCACGCGTGCCGGGGGTTGCTGACCCATGTTAAAGCATTGAGAGAGGAATTCTCCTTAAATGGTGGCTGAGTTGTTAGAAGGCCTTGTGACTGGTCTCAGCTGCAACTCCTTGGGGACCCAACTCTGCTTCCTTCAACACTGAGTGTTGATGCAGTGTCCTCTCTAGGCAGATTCTAGCAATAATGAAATCTTTCTCCATGTATCTTGGAGAGAAACTTCCCTCTTGTTGACGGGTCTCGACTTGGCCGCAACAGGCCTGTTGGAGCTTGTAAGAGCCTCAGCTAGCTCTGGCTGCAGGGCTGATGTCCTGCACTTTGTGAAGTCGCCTCACTTGCAGCCCCCCTGCCTAGTGAGGCTGCTGTCATGCTCAGAGGTCACTGCCTTATCAGCTGCCACTTGTAAGGCAACAACCTTGGCCCAGGCTGAGTTAACTACCCATTTTTGGAATGCTCCTAGACTCATCCCCCCTGCCCCTGTAGCATCTGCTGTCCATGTGTCTCTTTCTGTATTCATAATAAAAATGGAAATGTAAGTTAAGAACATATGAAAAGCCATACTGGGTCAGACCACAGGTCCACTTAGCCTAGCGTCCTGTCTCACAGTGGCAAAGGATGCTAAGGGAAGGAGAAGTGGCATCATGAAGGGTGGGTGATCAGGGCACCAGGGTTGGGGGAGTGAGGAAATAGAAGCAGCTGTACTGACCACCACAGTGCTGCCAGTAGTGCAGCCAGTGACACTGCCCTGCCCATGCTTCAGTGCCACCCAGGTTGCTCAGGCATTACATTATGCCTCTGGAAAGGAGCATTTATGGCAGAGCCTACCAGATTGATTCACGTCCTTCCTGTCTCCCTCCATAGCTTCCAGTATTTAGAGGCCTAGGAAGTCTCGATTCCCCTATCACATTTAATACTCACTGATGGCCCAATCCTCCATAAATTTTTCAGTCTTTTTTGAACCTGGCTAAGTCCTCAGTCTCCATGATATCTTGTGGCAATACATGCCATGAGTGAATTACATACAGTGTGAGAAACTTCTTTTTGTTAGTTTTAAACCTTCTATCTGCTACCCAATAATTTCATTGCATGTCCATTTAGTGCCAGTATTGAGAAGGAGGGAGTAAATAGTAAATCCCTATTTACTTGCCCCATGCCAGTCATGATTTTGCAAGCTCACTGTGAGGGCAGAGCCTGTTATCTTTGCCACTTGTCTCCATAATGCATGACATATCAGGGCTGTGTTCCCTGACTGGATTCTTGGGCTCTACCATGACAAGAATAATAAGTTGTTTCGAGAAATCCTTGCGGTTTTCCTGCCTGCACAGACACTGCCCCCCATAGCGCACACATTTCAGTTTCACACATTGTAATGTATGAGGGGCAGAACATTGAAATGAAGATCATTCACTGTGTCTCCTTTCCATCACCCTAACAGAATGGCTGCATCACTAAGTTGGAAAACTTCATCCAGGAACACCTGAAAATTATCGGGGCCGTGGGGATTGGCATCGCTTGTGTACAGGTAAAAGGACATGGCTGCTTCTAGAGGGTGGTAGGCCTTGATGCCAGGGACCCTGCCGCACTGAAGTAGCATCTTGAACTCAGGACATGGAGTGGGAGGTGCAGCACTGGCCTCTCTGCCATTCAGTTTATGGTGTCCTCAGAGCAACTAGTAACAAGTACTTTGGGAAACCCAAGGTGTAGATGGCCTGAATTAGAGTTCATATTCTCTGGGTTCTTAAAACTGGAGGCCTTTGTTTTTGCTTCCAAGGAAGACCTTCAGGTAGTAAATGCAGTACAGCAGAAGGGGTCAGACCTAAGAGATGAGATTGTAGCGAACTGGAATATAGAGGAATTGGGGGAGAGGCAGAGTGGGGCTTGGATTCAGAGCCTATGAGAGAGATTTGGGGGCAGATAGCATTTTTGTGTTCTCCCTCCTGTCCTATTTTGGAAATCAATAGAATTCACAAGCTAAACATTTATAGAGATTGTACTTCTACTTTATTTATACACGTTACTTGCAATTATTACTGTACTCGTATATTAATGTCTATTAAGAAAGGAAATTCTCACAATTCATAAAGCATAGGGCCTGGGACAGCTATACTCTCATTTCCTTCCCTAATAGGCCTTGCTACTGCTGTTCCTATTTTAGACTGAAGATGACCTCTAGTGGGGCACTACCATAGCTGCAAGCTGAGTGGAGCAGCAGTGGAAATGTTGCCCATCTGGAGGCTTATTAATTTGAGTTCAGGTTTTTCCCAGGACACTGAGGATAGGACATAATGCCAGGGAGAAGAAGCCAGTGACTCGGGGTGAGGGGAGGCACACCTGCATTGATCAGTCCTGCTGTTCAAGAGAGGTCTGTGTCAGCTGGAGGAGCCTAACTGATCTCCCAGTGTTGAGAACCTGTTAACCATTTAAGTTCCATAGGCCCCCTTCTGCACAGCTGTTCCTAAGTGCATGTGATCTCTTGTCTCATCCCCTTTCAGATCTTCGGGATGATCTTCACTTGCTGCTTGTATAAGAGTTTAAAGTCGGAACCATACTAGGAGCGCACAGGAATCCATCAGTTCCCCCCTGCTGCCACCTTCAGCGCCTGCCAGATCCACCACCCCCACTTAGCAACGCAGACACTTCCACAGCCTAAGGACTTGGGCTCTTATCTAAGCCCCTTGGATCCCAACAGCTGTAGGAGCTCTTCTTGCTCAAGTTCAAAGGTATTAGAGTACCACCAAAGAACAGTGGTTTGCTCCCCCTGACAGACTGCTCATCAGTGCCACACACTAACTATGGAGACAGATGATGTTTCTGTGCCAGGTGGGAATTGGTGCCAAACCTCTTCACATCCAGATGAGCCCCCTTGGCACATACTGATGTCCTGCCACAGCCATACACCATCCAAGAAGGTATCTGCTCTGGTCACTTGTGTCAGCCTCTCTCTCCATCTTGCCAGTGAGCGCACGACCTGTCCCAGCTCAGATTTTATCATAATTCTGACCTCACACCAGATGCGGCTGGGGATGGTTACACAACAACCTCTCCACTTCTGCCTCAAAGCCTCCATGCCGTTCAGAGGCCAGTTGAGAAACAGAAGCCATATGCCTTCAGTGATTCTGGACATTTTTTCTTTTCTGGTTTTCTGCCATTTATTTTTTAATTAATGGTTCCCAGTGTAAATAGGGGGAAAAATAATTTGTCTCCTGCTTGGTCTCCCTCTGACAGGTTCAAAGATGGGCTTGGAAGAATTAGTCTGTGCAGGGAACCTGCCACATTTGGGTATTCAAAGCCTAAGCTTTTTCATTTGCCAGGATTTTTTTTTTGAACCTGGAAAACTCCCAAGATAAAATCTCATATTAGGTGAAATATGTCCCAGCTTGAGGGACTAATTCCTGCCCAAGGAGACAGACTTGGAGGCTGGTAAGGAAATTCATTAAGGTTTTTATATTGGCCTCCTGGGATCTCATTAATCAGCTAGACATTATCTGGCTTTAATGAAACCTGGAACCCTGCTTTCACATTCTTCTCACCTAATAACTGGTAGGCTCAGCTTCACCTAATTGCAAAATATACTCTGTAAATTGTAAGTGCTAGGTGATGCAAGTTAACTGTCTGGTTACTGCAGGACAACAGTATGATTGCATGATGATAATTCTGCTGGAATCCATGATACTTATATGACCACAGATGTTGCAATTACCATGCTCTTTCCCAATACCCCTGGATTGTGATGCCAGCTAGGATCTAGCTTGATCCCTAGGTTCCTTTGCAATGCAGTGCCCCATCCATGCTACAGTGGGATGGACCTGGCATGTGGGCACCTGGTAGATGTTATGTATATAGGTTGACACACCTACAAAATGTATATAGTGACATTAGAGAAGCTTGGATGAATGTTTGGCCCCCGAAGGCACAAAATGGCCGTGAGGTCTAAAGTGGATGTAAACTAAGTGAGGATGAGGTGGTTTTTTTTCCCCTAAAAATATGATATAATATGCTCAAACTCAGGCATAAGAAAAGCGTTTCAGGAAGTTATTACCAAAATGAATTCTTATGGCTTGTGTTGTGCAGGAGGTCAGAGCAGATGAATCATAATGGTCCCCTCTGACCAAGAAAACTGCATCCTTGTAGATGCAACAGGAAGAAGGATCAGAAGAGAAGAGTTCATTCCTGAAGTGTCCCAGGCTTAGGGAAGTCAGTGAGTGCAATCTGAAAGGTTGGTCCAGGTCACCAGGATGCTCAACAGTAGAATAGACTGCATGTTCA